GGATTCTAGCTTAGAATAACGAGATGAAATCCAGTTCTTAGCAGGATGTCTTAATTACATGCACAAGGCTGACCTTTCAGATGTCTGCAGCTCTGGTCCCAGCCACTAAGGCCACATGTGCTTAGGGATCTATGGAGATCTGGGATCTGATGGGTCTTAGGGACTGCACGCATTCACTCACAGTAGAAAATGTTAGTTTGGCCTGCCCTGAGGATTTTTCTTTAAAATTCTAATAAAATTGTCCTAAAGCTTCAAAAAAAAATCTTAAAAATTCACTTATCAGAGAGTTAGCAAAGAGGGAAGGTGAGCATGAAGGAAAGAATCTCAAGAACGGGGAACCCGGAGGCTCTCTGCTGAGGGAACAGAGGCTCCAAGATCCTCTACTGTGTAGTTATTGCTTTAATTTTGCATAGGCAGGGCAAACAATGTGGCTTTTACTCTCTCAGTGCAGTCAGTCTTGAGAAAATGTCCTTAAGACTTGTAGGTATGTTATTTTGAAGTAAAGAATCTGTTTGCTAGAATGAAAACTAGTTAAGCATAACAGCGCATTGTGACAGTTGTCAGAGTATTATTTCCTCGTAGAATTTGGGGTGGGGGCACCGTGTTCCTTAGTCTGCCTCAATACACATGCTTTTGCAGTTTTTGCCACATAATCATTCTTGACCAGAGGTGCTGTTGGGTGTGGTTAAGCATGCTTTCAAAAGAGTTTAGGTAAAGCAGTGTCTCCAACATTAGTTTAGGTAAATCAGTGATCTCCAACATACACTGAAATGTTGTCCTAAATTCAAAATATAGAATATTTCACTTGTAATGTCAGTTGCATTTTGTAAAAACAGAGATGAAAAAAACTGGACCAATGAATGGAGGAAAGATAATTGGACAGATAAATGGGTAGATGAATAGATAGGTAACTGAAAGTAGATGGATTGATAATAGAATGGATGGATGAATTGGGATGAATTCTGTATGAATGGTGAGTAGATAAGTGAATTTTTAAAAAACTTTTATATTTTATTTACTTTCATTTTATGTTTATGCATGTATTGTCTGCATGTAGGTGAGTGCAACCATGTCATGCAATGCCTGTGGAGGTCAGAAGAAGTGGTCAGATCCCCTGGAACTGGCATAATGGACAGTTGTTAGCTGCCATGTAGGTGCTGGGATTCAAACCTAGGTCTTCTGCAAGAATAACCAGTGTTCTTAAGCGCTGAGCCATCTCTCCAGCCCTGGTAAGTGAATTTTTAAGCTAAGTGAGTTCCTGGGGCACCCTCTGGGGCCAGAAGAGGAGCACTGCAGCTTCTCCTTCATGAGTCAGAGCAATATGGTCAACTACAGCCTTCTGTGCAAGGAGATCATGGACCACAGCCAGGGCAAGTTCCTGCAGAAAGGTACCGGTCTCTCTCCAGCCTCCCTTCAACTCCCAGGGCCCATCCTGGGCCCAGCAATCCCCATCATTTGGTATCTGATCATAGCTCCCTAGTCTGTCTTGTCTACTCACCTTCCACACCTTGCTCGTTTTCTCATCTTCCCAGAAATGTGAGGGTGATGCTCTCCTTACTAAAGGCACGAAGTCAACAGCAGAGAATTGTGTCACTGAACAAAATCTCCCAAAGCTTACCGAGGACAATCCCAGCCCTGTGGCATTCCCGTCCCCCTCCAGTGGTGCCATCATGAAGGGTTCCCAGGCTACAGCTCTATCTCAGACCTTTCCTCCCAGATTCCACAAACCAAATTTTTCGATCACCTATAAGAGAGTGCCCATCTCCAATTGCTCCACTGGAAACTAATCTTCACCATTATCATGGTTAGCACTGCCTAAGTGTAGCCCTCCCCACCACAAATTCTGAAGAGTGTACAGAGCCCTCACCATCCCAAAGGTCCTTGAGTCTCCTTGCTACACATCTTAGAAACCAGCATAGTAGGCACATATGGTAGCTCATGTCTGTAATCCCAAGCACTTGGAAGACTGAGGCAGAAGGACAAGTTTGAGGCCAGCCTGGGCTACATAGTGAGTTTGGCTCCAGGTAGATGGGTTGTAGCCAGGGTCTTTGTCTACCTGAGTGTCTGCGGAATGCTTGGAAACTGTGTGAGGCTGCCTAAGCCGGACATATCTGGTCACATCACTGTGGCAACTAAAACATGCCTTGCTACTGTCCCTGAAGAAATCCCTGGCATACCAGGACCGCTGTCCCGTGTGTGGATCAGGCCGTCTTTCACAGCAGTTGAACAGTGGGAGCTGTCCTCAAAGCCTGCAGCAAGTCAATTTCTCAGGACAGGTCTTAGGGGCCATGGACCCAGGCACCGGCCCCATCCTCCACTCTTCTTCTGGAGCCCAATGTGGCTTCCTGCCTCTTTCATGCCTGTGGCTCCTGTATCCCACAGTCTCTGGCTGCACCAGTCCGGGCTCTGCTTGCATACTCTCTTTAAAATCTTTTTTATTTATTTATTTTTATTTTATGTGTTAAGTGTTTTGTTTGCATGTATATAAATGCACCCATGTCTTGCACTGCCTGCAGAGGCCAAAGAAGGTTTCAGATCTCCAGGAACTGGAGTTATAGACAGTTGTTAGCTGCCATGTGGGTATGGGAAACCGAACCTGGGCCTTCTACAAGAGCAGCCAGTTTGCTTAACCACTGAGCCATCCCTCCAGCTCTGCCATACCCTCTTTTTGAGGATACCAGCCACTGGATTAGGTCACCCTCATGACATCTTAACCTATTTCCAAATAAATTCACTTTCTAGGTACCAGGTACACACAACCACTTGCTGGATACAGATCAGTGTGTGGTAATAGGGAAACAGTGGCCAGTCTCATTTCTAGAACTCCCAGGGGCTGGTTGTGGCATATTCTTGATGTCCCTCCTCCCTGGCCTGACTCCCTCTATCTGTCCTCCTTCACCTAGGTGTTGTAAGGAACTGGGGGGAATATTTCGCTCCTGAGATGGACAAGAAGTTTCAACATTATCTACCAGGCCAAGATGGGTAACTCTGGCTTCTGCCTC